CTCAAGCACCCCAGGTCCGAAGTAAAAACAAGCCTCAACATCCTCTTTTGAGTGGACTAAACAACAGATGGCCACCGGTTTCCAGTGTCTACTAGAGGGAAGGAAATAAGAATGCCAAACTATTATTTGTAGCCTCTCAAGAATCCCCACTTTCTAGGCAGAAGCCCTAGAAAAAAGAAAACCATGATGAGACCCCATCGTGAGGCTGAAAATGAAGACCCTGTCATTGATTTTTCTTCATTCCCGGAAGCTCCTGTGCTTCCTCTGGGGCCTGACTTACTCTCCCATTCCACTTTCTTATCCCCTGCTCCTAGCATCAAGTCAAGATAAGAGACTTCTGGGCTGGAGATGTGGCCAGTGGTAGAGCACTTGCCTGGAAGGCATAATCCCCAGCACCACAAAAATAGTTAATCTAATTTATAAAAAGCAAGATAAGCAACTCTTTTTTTCCTCCAGGATCAGACCACACATTTCTTAAGACCAGGGGTTATGTCTTCCTCAGGATCAGCCTTGTGTCTGGCACTCCTGTATATTGATCATAATAATCAATGTTTTCTGAGGAATGAGCTATACCAGGCACTGAGGGAGGGGTCAGAGGGCACTGAGTGGAAGATGGCAGCTGATAAAAATAGCGACATTTATTGGGCACTTACTGAAACCCTCTAAACTTTATAATAATACTTAGAACTTGGTCCCATCACTGGCTCCATCTTACAGATAAGGAAAGGAGGACACAGAGAGGTGAAATAACTTATGACAAAGAAGCCAGCAAGGGCTGGAGTTGTGGCTCAAGCAGTAGAGCACCTGTCTGGCAATCAGGAAGCCGAGTTCAAACTCTAGTACCACAAAAAACAAGTTAGAGGAGAGCAAGGAAGTGCAGAAGCGTGGCTCACTGCCCCCCCCCCCACACCCCTGTTGGCGGGATGCAGAGCCAGGGAAAAAAGAAGAATAAGAAATGCAAGTTTTGAGACCGGGCCCTTTTAGTCATGGAATTTACCATGACTTTGGGGATATGTATGAATGGCAGAGGCAGAGGAGAGGGGTTGTTACCTCCATATTCATTGTCTAAATAAATTTTAACAAAACAACTGAACAGATACCTAAGCAGGTAGCCCTGAACTAGGGCCCAAGGCAAGTTCTCTGGTCTGCTCCTTTGGGAATGGTCTGGACAAGTCTCAGAGCTCCTGCCAGAAAGGCTGTGCTGTCAGGCATAGAGATGAGGAGACCACAAGGCCTGCATCAGGGAGACCCAGGCATTGAGACAAGACAGAGCACAAGCTGGAGGAGCAAAGGCACAGAGGAGGGAGTGTTCAATCCCTCCAGGGCAGAGTGGAGAGCAGGAGAACAGGACTGAAAGGGAGGGCAAACCACATTAGGGGTCCTGAGCACCATATGGAGGGGCAGCAAGGCTGACCAGACCTCTTGGCAGAGCCTCGAAATATGAGAACTGGCTTGGAAGGGAAATTTGTCCCCGGAAGTCTGTAGGGGACTGTTTCACTCCGGCAGATGCCTCCTGACAGTTCTTATCAAGGGGCAGCTGCTATCGCCTGACTGGGCCCCCTCTGCTCCCATGGCCACCCCCAGGCTACTGCAGTGGACAGCTATCTGAGGGAAGCAGAAGAAACCGATGAGAATATATTTAGTACACTGAAACAGCAGGTTCTCCAGAGCCCAGCAGCATCAGGGGACCGAGGGGATTACTTAAACCAGGGAGGGAGGCAGCTCATTCACTCAGGAATTTCCAAACACCTACCTGGGTTTTCAAGTTTTCCACCAGTGAGAAAAGGAGACACAAGATCAATACAGACCAGTGACAGCCAAGAAAGCAGTCAGTACCTCCTGCCAACCCATCTATGTAGGCAGCTCTCAGCTGGAGCCACAGACATGGTGGGCTCCTGGGCTGACTTCACTTGCACAAAACAATACCCTCGTCCAGGCCTCTGTGCCTGCAGGCCAGGCCAGCCTCGTTCTCCGCAAACCCCCAGGCCTGGGCCATGAGGTTCTGCAAAGAAAGTTTACCCAGCTGCCAAGATGCTTGCTGTTGGGTTGTTAAAACAAAAACATTAAATTGCTATGTAGACTGTCATCCTTAAATAAAAACTTAAGCCCAGTAATAAATCTGAAACTGTTCCCAAGGGTTTAATGGGATAATGGATAACAGGCCCGGGTGGCCTGCCTGGCAGGGTGGGAATTCCCCTGAAAGGTCACCCCTCAGCCTGGCTGCATGGCAGGGTTAGGGAGTGTGGCTTTGACTGCTTTTCAGATGGGTATGGCCCAGTTATCAACAATGCAAGTTGTTGTGGGGGCAGGGTGAGTAGAAAGACTCCTTTAAGGGGTCCTTACACTTCAGTGGCATAAAAATCATTGGGGATGCCTATTAAAAATGCAGCTAACTTGCCTCTGGTCCCCAAGATTGAACTGGGATAAGACCTGGGAAGTTCATTTTATCAAGCCTTCCCACCTCCCCCTCCACCCCCCCCCACTCCCATTCGGCTGGTAGAAGACATGTTGAGAAGCCCTGAAAACAGACTAAGGGAATTCCACTTTGAACCTTGGAAGTAGATTAGGAACTCAAAAACCCTCAGCCTCTGACATCACCTCCGACAGGATTTTGCTGAAAAGCAAAAAAAGTCTTAACACAGAAAGTGCTTCAGGAGACAGGATTGCAGCTAGGCCCAAAGCAGGGCTCCTGCAGGATGGATCCTGCTTTTGTGGAACCTAAGAACCTCTTGCCTAGCATGTGTAAAGCCCTGGGTCCAATCCCCAGCACTGAAGAAAAGAAAAACAAAGACAAAATTACCACCCAAAATCAGTACAGTCCTGTGGATCACTTGGTGGGCTTCCCAATACCTCTGTTTGTGACCCTTCTCTCACTTGACTCCTTTGTCTCCTGCTGCTGGGGAGTAGTAATCAAAATGGCAAACACTCATGTTCTTTTCCATAAAGGGAGCATAAACCTAAAATTTCCAAGGACATAGGGCTTTGGCATCCAGGCATCCAATACCAACCTGTGATGCTTAACTATCAGAGATATGACCACAGTTCATCAAGTTTAAAGTCTGTTGCCCTGAAACAGGTACCACTGCTGTTCCTGAAACTGCCCTCTTTATTTTGTGGGTACAAACTGGCCCCTTAAACCTATGCATCTCCCCTGATTCAACGGCTCTATTTGTGAGTCCTTGCCCCAAATGTGATCCAAGTCAACATGCAACCTGTGCAGCTCTATTTGTAATAGAAGAAGAGAGAAAAAACAAAAGGTAGTAACTGTTACGCATTTACTATGTGTCTGGTATTGCACTAAGGCTTCCCATGTTTTAGTGTAGTTAAGCCACAACCCTATGAAACCCACTTTATAGGTGGGGAAACTGACAGAGGTGGCACACCTTGACCTGTAGCATTTGCTGATCTCCATGGTGTAAATATCTCACCAGGGTTAATTTCAAGCTATCTGTGGCTTAGCAGCCAATTCCCAGATCTCCTGAATATTTAGCAATTGGCTCTCATAAGCCATCGTGAGCCAGCTCCTGCATATCATTTGAACTGAGGCACAGAGAGGCCAAGGAACTTGTTCAGTATCACTGAATGACAGTCAAGGCTGGAACCAAGAGCTTAACTCCAGAGTCCAGCTTTGACCACCATTCCTAGGACCTGTCCAATGATAAGGAATGACTGCCATCAGCACCCACTGGGAACCGTTTGACCCACAGGCAACAAGGAAACATTAACAGGACCACTAACATTATTGGGGGACTTAATATATGCTGGGCAACGAAGGACGCTCTCTCTAAAAACACTATGAAGTCTGACTTTATTAGGGTTGTCCTAAATATTAAGTACAAAGATTTGCATAATTTGATGGGTGCAGGGCAGGCTTCAATTAAACTTAAAGAGAGCATAGCTGCAGTAAGTTATACAGCTGGTAGGTAAGTAGTGGAGGTGGGGTTCAGACCCAGCCAGTCTGCAATCTCTTAACCACATTTGATGTTAGGTGGAAAGAGGAAATCGACATGTGCACAAGACTCCAGGCTCTATGCAGAAGTGAATCTTGGAGTGGGCGACAGGAAAGCCTGTGACACCTGAATGGGAGTCAGGCAATATGGTTTTCAAAGATTCTCCATCACCAAGTAAGTGTGACTTTGGGACAAGTTACCTAATACTCCTGCCTTCAGTACTCTCTCTCACCGGGTTATTCTAAGGGTGAAGAGTGTCCCCAGAAGACGGTGAACATAGTCCCTGGCAGGCAGTAAGCCTCAGCAGGTCCTAGCTGTTATTGTGAACAGAAAGGGCAAATGGATAGGACCAAGGGCATGGTTTCATCTCCACCGTGGGTTCTTTGTCTCACCAAGTTGCCCCAAATTGTGGCTCCGGCTGATCCAGAGTGACAGTCAAAGAGAATCCTTTGCCATGTTGGCGCTTCGCTGACGCGAACCACACGTACCTCCATCCTGGTGTTCTGCTACCTTCATGGCCCCACTTTTGCGCTCCAGGGTGCAGAGCTGCAGGCCCTGGCACCGCGGGCCCGACTGCCCAGAGGGATGCCCGCGGTCCAGCCGGGCCTCCCCTTGCGCGCGGGGGCATCCTTCCCCAATCGCCCGCCGCGGAGGCGGAGAACTCACTCCACAAAGGAGGGAAGCCGCCCGCGTACTGCTTTCGGAATCGAGATCCCACACGACCTCCAGAGTTTGGAGGGGTTTTGGATCTCCTTTTCTCCCAGACCATCACTAAAAAGAAAACCGCTCTAGTTCCCCTTTCAGCCAAACTTCCTCCCCGGAGCGTCTCTCGAGACTCTGCGCTCCCGCGGCGCCTGGGACCGCGGGGCGCACAACCGAGAGCGGAGAAGTGGCGGGGTGGCCGGGGCTCCCGTCGGGGCGGCACCTCCGAGCCGCGCCCGAGCCCAGAAGGGAGAGAAGGAATGCCCAGTGGGCACGCCGGCCGGGGCGGCTCCTCGCGGTCCCTCCCGGTGCCCCGATCCCCGTGCGCGGACCCCGCGAGCAGCTTACCTGACGGCGGCCGCTTCCTGCTCAGCCGGCTCACGGCGCGGTTGAACATCGCCCCGGGCGCGCAGGGAGGAAGGAGGAGCAGCCGGCGGCGCGGCGGCTGAGCCCGAGCCGAGGAAGGCGAGGAAGAGGAGGAGGGCGGGAGGAGGAGCCCGCGCAGCACCGCCCCGCCGCGCCCGGCCCCCGCCCGCCGCCTCCTCTCCGCGAGGCGCCGCGTGGCGCGCTCCGTGCGCCCTGCCCGCCCGTGCCGGTGGGGCTGTGGGTCCCGCCCCGGGCGGGAGGGGGACCAGAGTGGGGTAGGGTGACCCCAGGTGACCCCCGATCCTGAGCCTGGGATGCAGCGCACACCCCGGGAGGAACCCTGCGCTGCCCGAGACAGCAACCCTGCCCGGGCGATTAGTGGGTCCCAGGGGTTCCCTCGCCGCGCGCCGGGACTCCCCTGAGATGCCGCCCCGCAGGGTTTCCAGCGCCCGAGTCCATCCCAGTCACCCGCCCTCTCCTTGCAGACCGGGAGAGACTGGCGCGGCCCTGAGGGCGCACGGCGCTTGGTGACTCTGGCAGGCCAGGCGGGGATTGCCTCCCTTATCGCCACCAGGAGGCCAAGGGCTCGCGGTTCCGCGCAGTCTGTGCACAACCCGGTCCATGGTTTTGGTCTCCCCGCCCCCGGGATCCAGGATCCCCGCGAGCCCGACTCCGTGGGCGCTTGGCCCTCCCACGCTGCGAATGCGGGTGGGACATCACCAGGGCTCTGGCCGCGGTGCCTGCGCTCAGCGAGCCAAGCCACCGCGAGTGGGCGCCCTCTCCACGGCCTCGCGGGCTCCAGAACTCGGGTGCCTCCGGCCCTCGGCCTTGAGGCTCCAGGGCAGACCTGGGAGATTCTGCAGCAACCCTGCGGTGCAAGCCCAGGGACACGTCTTTAACTCTGGGGACACTTGGGTGCAGCCTCAGGCAGGGCGTTTGCGCTCCACGACCAGAATCACTGAGGTCCCCAGTGCTCTGGGCTCATTTCTCCCCCTGCCAATCACCTGCTCAGCGCCGCGCTCCACGCTCATCTATTTTCTCATTTCTTCTACAAAGCAGCCCGAGAGGGGGTGTCATTAGCCCCATTTCCTTGAACATTTGGTTTGTAAGGAATTGTCGTTCTGGCGAGTTTTATTTTTCTCCTTGTGTATCTGGCTTTGTCTCTAAATTGGTCTTTATTTTTAGCTGTACTAATTGCTATTTTTCTAAACCGTTCCCCAGTCGCCACCCCTCCCCCTCCATTCTTTTTGCGGTATTTTCTCTAGCTGGCACTTTCTTTTTTGTCTTCTATTCTGGGCTTCCTATCCTGTTCGGTTTTTTTTCCTCCCTCTGCCCACCCCACAGTCCCAATTCCACCCCAGCTCTGGCCCTCTGGTTGCTTCTCACTTCCTTCCCTATTCTTCCCTCTCAGTCATTTTCTTCGGAGTATTCCAAGCACCGTCTCTGCTGAGCCAGCAGAGGATTCCCGGTCTCCTGAAGGCCACAGGGTTTTCAGCTGCAAATGGAAGAGACCACTGTGGCAGGTGAACAGGTTGGAGCCTAGTTTCTGAGCTGGCCTATAAAATCGTTTCCTCTGTTGTTGGTGGTGGACTCCAGGGATAGGCTTCCACTCTGTTGAAATAATATGTGCACTACAGGCAGACCTTTTGTAAGAGTAGAATTTTAAATGCTGGCAGAATTCTGGGTCCAAATGAGATCACTGCATTCTCCTAACAATAACAAAATTTGTGCGGCACACCTCCTGAGAAAACTTCCCCAGAGACCAAATCACAAGTAATCCCAAAGCAGGAAATGAGACCCGCACAATGGAGTAGAAGTTAGGCCCTGCCAGCCAAATGCTATGCTAGCTGCCAGGTCCTCCCCACTGTGTTCCCAACAAACCTGGTGTGGCCTAGGACATGCTTGTGTGTGCCTTCTGTGCTAAGAACCCCAGCTCTTTCCTAAATAAAGGAAAAATGTAACAGCTTCAAGTCACTGTTACCATATCAAATAGTAAATACTAAAAGAAAGACAATGCTTAAGGTTTAATGTTCACAGTTCAATTCGTTTTGGAACTCTGAAAGCCTGTCTTCAGGAAATTGCTATAAATACCCATTTGAAGTGTCTAAAGATCCAAAAGTCAGTTTTCAATGTGCTGTGTGCAGAAGACCAAGTATACATAAGCATACAGACTGGTAACCTTCAAAGCTTGCTAAACACATGCATACACCAGGTTCTGTATGTGTTCTGCATCTGAATTGAAGGTGGTATAGCATCGCTCCTCCAAAGCCAGCCCCCACTCTCTGTCACTCCTCTCCATCAAGCCTTCACAAAGGTAACCAACTTGTGAAAAAAGAAGACAAGCAGTTTAGTCCCTTCTCTCCCCCTGCTGGTCTCACTTTTGGCTCACTAACTTTCAGATCAGGCAAGAGCCAGGAACCCTGGAGGTCTTCTGGTAAAGCAGAATTTCAGAGGAATCATCCACCTTCAAGATCAATGCATTTTATTCTACTTAGAAACTTTTTTTAAAAATTGGTAAGCTGGAGCTATTCAGGAGGCAGAGATCAGAAGGACTACAATTTAAGGCTAGACCTGGCATAAAAATAAGAATCCCATCTCAATAAGCCTGGTGTGGTGATGCACACCTGTCGTCTGGTAAGAGTGTCATGGCCCAAGGCCAGTACTGGGGCTACAACTTAAGATCCCACCTGAAAAGTAACCTAAAAGCAAAAAAGGCTCAGAGTGTGGCTCAGGTGGTAGAGCACCTGTCTAGCAAGTTCAAGGCCATGGGGTTAAACCCCAGTACCACCATACACACACACACACACACACACACACACACACACAAATTGGCATAAGCTGTGAATATATTTTAGAGCTGTTCTCTGATGACCATAACTATATAACAAGACTACTCTAGGCCATTCGAGGCAGGTGAAGTAAGGCAAAATAAGTAAGTTAAGTGCTTGACTTAGAGTCTGAGACCCGGGTACCAGTCCTGAACCATGCAGCAGACCAGCTGTGTATCCTCAGGCACATCACAGCCTCTTGGGATGGAATGAGAGGATGTCACCTACATTCTAAGGGTGTGCTGTGCAACATCAAAGAAATAAAAAAGCCCCTGGCATAGTGCCCAGCACATGTAGGTGCACAAAATTTATTGGAATCTGAATTACTCTTACTCCTCCTACAAGGCCTATTTTGATAAATAATAAACTTTAACCTACACACAGTCAAAAGTGGCTTTCCCCCCACTCAGTGCTAAAGATCAAATCCAGGGTCTTGCACATGCTAGGCAAGCACTCTTCTACTGAGCTACATTTCCAACCTTGGATTTTTTAAGTATAGGAAGTTGGCAGGGTAGTTCATCACAAGATGAAAGGGGGAAAGCAAATGGTTAGAACTCTCCAGAAAATCAGAGAGGCAGATGTGGTAAGATACATATTTGGTAATATTAGGAGTCTTCAAGATGTTTACTGTACCCATTGGACCTGGGAATAATTCTCCAACTGGCAATTTGTGCCAAAGAAAGGATAAGCAATGCAAAGATTTATGTGTATCATAACACTTCTTTTCATCAGTGTTATTTAATACCTAAAATTTCTCATTAAAAGAATGACCAAGTTATAACATATTCTTATGATGCCATATTTAACAGTTGTTAAAGGCGACATGAAGACTATTTGATGTTGAGTGAGCATGCTTATGACAAAGTTTTCATTGAAAAAATCAGGATATAAATATAGAGAAAATTTTCCATGGGTGAGGGGAGGAAGAAATATAGTATATTTATGTATGCAAAGCTAGCAGTTAACTCTGCAAAAATGTTGTCAAAATTTATCTCTGGATGGTAGGATATTGGGGGAATTAAGTTTTTATTATTATACTTTTCTGCTTTGCAAAATGTTTGCACTGTATACATTTTTGATTTAGGACAGGGGAGGGAATCAGTAATGGGAAACTGGTTGAAATTTCTGCTAGGTTTAATGCTACAAATACATAAGCCCTCATTTTTACAACATTAGTTTTGCTTTCTTAAAACTCTCAATTTCCCATGGAAGGAGCAAGCTGACCCAGATTGTCTTTCCCATCTTTGATCTCTCTTGCGTTTCCAGTCACACATTCCTGGCATGTCACAGCTGGATGGGTCCTTAGAGGTCAGCATTTTGTACTGTAGAGCAGGAAACTGAGGCTCAGATAGCTGCTGAACTTGTATTTGGTTGGTTTTAACCAATGTTATGTCAGGTTTCCTGACTCTAGTGAAGAGTCTCCCTGAAGAGCACCTGTCCCCTCATCCTGTGTGCATCTAGAAAGAGGCACCTAACAAGGCAGATGTTCTATGTCAGTTTCTGATTCTAGTTAGGATTTCTAGCTAAACAGGGCAGACTAATTCTATCAGTTTTAGTAAGTCTTAGATTTCTCCAACCTCAAGATAAAAACAATCAGCCTGCAAAAATAGAAGGAAATCCTGCTGTTTGTGAAAACATGGATAACCTTGGAGGATATCATCCGAAGTAAAACAAAGCAGGCACAGAATGACAAATACCATATGAGTCTACTTACATGAGTTATCTAAAATAGTCAAATTCACAGAAACAGAAAGCAGAAGGGCGGTTGCCAGGTGCTGGGGAGTGGGGAAAGAAGGAGCTGTTGATCAGAGGGCACAGACTTTCAGTTATGATGAACAGGTTCCGGGGACTTAATGTAATGCATAGGTGGTGATGGATGTACTCGTCAATTAGATTGCGATCTCATTACACAATGCATACCTAGATCAAATCTTCACACTGTATATTGTGAATATGTGCAATTTTTATTTACCAATTAAAATTTTTTAAATGAAATAAATAAGTAACAAATTTAAGAACAAAACAAGTTTCTTTTGCCCCAAGTCATTGCAGCACTTTTCAGCAGTGCCTCAAAGGAGTGGTCTCTACTTGCTGTGTCCAGTTCCTGTCCTCCAACTCCTAAGCCCACTCTGGTCTGATGTCCATCCCCTCCACCCTAAGAAACTGCTTTCATCAAAGTCCCCAGTGACTTCCACCTTGAAAAATTTAGTTGTCAATCCTCAGCCATCTCACGTGATCATCCTCAACATTTTGACTCTGTTGAG